TCATTTTAGTCCGTTTAGATCTTGGCAGCCTAGTTCGGCCCTAAGATTTTAGCAGCCTTTTCCGTACTCGTCCTACCTAGCGCTGCCGTACCAGGGGCTCTTTCGGGGTCAGGGGAATGAGGCCCATATTTGTTGCTGTTTTGGCATTTTGATACCCAACGTATAGCCTGCCAGGCTCTAAACGTGGGGGCTGGGTACTCACGAGTAGCTTGCCAGTCTAGGAGCGGGAGGAGCTTATTCGTTGGAGGCGACTTCTAACCGCCTCCCATGTACTTCCCGCCTCTTGACTGCAGGGTTTTGGCCGACTTGACTCGTAGAAATAGAGTTTTTGTCAAGTCGGCGCTGCAGAGGCAGGGAGCTCGTCCCCTGAATCCACCTGCGTCTCTGGGAAGCACACGGTCGCTTTTTGTTCGCGTTTATTCCCCTATCCACCACCTGGGGATGCGCCACGTGCCCTCGCGACTAACCGGGCGAGATCCCTCAAAAGGGGTGGTCCGTGGAGATACGCGGTATATAACCGCGATTAAACCTGACACACGCCCCTCAACTCATAGGGAAAGCACCAGCCAACAAGGAAGACCACAGTTTCCCAGGTACACTTGCATGTGTTTAGAGGCAACCATAACCCTTTCCAATGCCATCATTACAAAATGCAGCAGGATAGGTATCAGTACCTTAAAGATAACAAACGTGTCATATATGCGCATCTGCAACACATACCGCAGCGCAGTGCAAAGGGACATTCTGCCGCAATTGCCACAAACTCCATCACACGGCATGCTGCCTTTCGGCCGCTCCTAATCGAAACTCCAAAACTAGTATAAAGTCAAAAAAGGATGACGAACATCAACAAAAAAGCCCCACTGACGCGAACAACGTAAACATAGTCGGTAATCGAACTTTAACAGAGGACATCACACCACCACAGACTATAGGACGCCTACCATTCCTGCCCACAGACAGCTCACCGTACTAAATCCACGATCCAAGCGCTTACAAAAGATACATGCCTTGTTCAATTCGGGCGCAGAACTCTCTTTCATCGACCAGAAATTTTGCTCAAGAATTAGGTCCACAAGTGAAGAGACAAGTTAAATTACGCCATAACACGTTCGGCGCCTAGACTGTACAAGAACATTGGTCAAAAAAGATCTCTTTAGACGCGTGGAACAAGGATGGTAATAGAATTTTCCTCAGTTTGTACACCCACAACAATATTTCAAGACCAATTCAATTGCCAAATATGACTCTTGAAGATTTAAAGTTCATACGCGAAAATGACATCCAAATTGAAATCAGTCAAGATCAACAACCCATTCAGCCCTCCATCTTTCTCGGATGTGATCAACTCTGGACTTTGATGAAACAGATACCCTCTTATCCAATTACCATCAGGTCTTTATTTACTTCCAACAACTCTTGGATACTTACCGACCGGTAAACCCCAGGAGACGTCACAGTCATACCATAAAGACCACAACCTACTGCTAGGACTACAGCACTCAGAAATAGAACAACAAATGTCACACAATAATGACAAGTATGACGACATTGCAGTGTGGGAGCAAAGTTGGACTCTACAAGCTCAAGTAAATACGGCCTTCTTACACGATGACCAAGAAAAAATCGAATGGGAAAGATTTTGCTCCTCAGAATATGCCGGGACACAAGAATTTGGAGATTCTGAAAATTGAAAAAAGAAACAGATCGAACAAGAAATTTGGAATAACTTCAATAAAACTATCCAGAAAAGAATCTACGGATATTATGTTCGACTCCTTGGAAAGAATTATGTACCTCATCACCAGATAACAAAATTATTGCCTTCAACAGACTAGCAAGCGTTTGGAAATCCTTAAAAAATAACGAAAATCAACTAGACAGGTACAATGATATATTTAATGAACAAATCAGATCAAATATTTTGGAAGAGGCCTATGATAAAGACACTCCACCAATTCTCGTGCCCATTACATGCCACATCAAGCAGTTCTGACACCTAACAAGCCAACCACCAAACTCAGAATTGTTTACGATGCATCCGCCCATTACAAGGGTTATCCGTCATTAACAACGCATTGCATCGTGGACCCGTCATTCTCTGTGAGCTATTCGGAGTCCTCCTTCATTTCAAGTTTGGAAGAATAGTCCTCACTGCGGATGTTGAGAAAGCATTTTTGCAGATCCGTCGCCATGAAGATGACCGTGATACTACACGTTGTTTATGGCTGCGAAATCATAGATTACAGCCCATCCCAAGTAACGTTAAAATTCTTCGCTTTACTAGAGTAACCTTTGGATTGATCGCATCACCGTTTCTATTAGCGGCAACACTTCATTACCATCTTGGCACGTACAAACAAGACTCCCGATTAGTAGAAGAAATAAAGAATAACTTATACGTTGATAACGTCATCTTAACTGCTGACAATCTCGAAAAATCATTTCGCAATTATTTACGTTTGAAGCAAATATTCAACGAGCTAAGCATGAATCTTCGCGAGTTCAATTCAAATGATGCAACCTTGATATTCCAAATATCAGCGCCCTATAAATCAAACGAGAAACTACCCAAAGTACTCGGGATCTCCTGGAACATCCATTTAGATCAGATACAGCTATCATGCGATACGAAAACTCATCACAACATTACTAAGAGAGTAGTAACCAGTACGCCCGCCTCTATATTCGATCCATTCGAACTCAGGTCTACTGCTGACCCTCCACAAATTTGGCGCATAGCCTACTCATAGATCGGGGCACTCAGCAGAAAGCCCCCATTTCCTACTCATAGATTAGGGCACTCAGTAGAAAGTCCCCACTTCTCGATGCATAGATTAGGGAACTAGCAAGAAGGCCCCACTTCCTGGTGTATAAGCGGGAACTAGCAAGAAAACCCTATGCGGCGCATCAGCCGACTACCTTCGCATACTAGTCGCCAGGGAGTCTTACAACCAAAGAACGCAGCCTCAACAGCCAGAAGAAGTATTCGCACTGACTCATCATTGCGACAACACAACTCTATGAGTAGCTGAACAAGAACTTCATCAAGTCTAACCAAACAACCTCAAACTTGGAAAACCGCCAGGTACATTTGAATTCCGTCATTACATTGAAAGTCACCCTTCATACCACTGTATGGAAAGGGCTGAAACAAAAATGAGGCTGGTTTTTAGAAAAACATCATGACGGACCAGTAAATCGTAGTGGCAGCCGAAGTACTGGAAAAGTTCAGCGTACCCCTGGAAATAGACTTACCACGCACGACCTTGCGTTGTGGTCTACATACTCTTACTTTTGCTCAATCAATGGTATTCCTAGCGCTCATTACCACCCCAAGACCTGATAAACAACCTCAGCTTGGGACCTCATATCTACAACCCCGGAGCAGTCGTGGCATCTGTAGGACTAGGTCTAAGTGTGACCGCCCGAGAAGAGAAATAAACTACAGTTTCCGAGAAGACGAATAAACTACAACTTAAGCCCAAGAAGACGAATAAACTACAGAGAGTATCTCAGTTTCCTTAGCTAAACCACACATAATAAAGAAAATCGGCTTGGGGCTATCTCCAATTAGATCCCCGTCATTAAGAGCAAAATCTTTATAATCTCTTTTTCTCATCTTTTCTCACAACTTCCTTTTGATCGCCAGTTACACGCTTCACCTAAATGTCGATTCCACGCCTCTATCCTTTTACAGGAAAACTCTCGTCTTCTCCTTTAGCCATCTCGTCTTCGAACATGCAAAAAGGCACGATGTTCAAGCTCATAGACCTACTGATCTACTGAGCAGAGGAGAAGATCCTTTCACGAGGCAGGAATGTAGCAAACCGAACTCAATAGAATTGTGAGCGGAACATGGCGCTTCCGTGGCCGAGCAAACTCACTTAGGCTATGCTCGGCCCACCACCGCTGTTTAGGGATTCTGCCCATATATAATCAGTAGTGACCCCTATGCTAACACTATATACTAACCCACTGGATCCCGCCGCCGGTGCTTCTACTTCGGGGCGAACATAGCAATCCCAAACGGTCTTCGCCGCTTGGTCATGCTCCGTCATTTACAATAACATTGTCACTCATAATATTGCCACTTGGAATAACATCATCACTTACAATAACATCATCACTTACCATAACACTGTCGCTTACGATAACATTCATAGTATCGTCGCATGACGATACCTCTCATCAATCGGTCACTCGTACTGACTTAGGCATATGTTCGCTCAACGATATGTCGTAATCATGAATATATTATTATTATAGTAATGTATGTATATCATAATAGGTTGTTTGGTAACACGCCATTGTTTGGTTCCATCCTATTGTTTGGTATAATCCATACAAAGGATTTAGACTCTGCTTTCTTGTCCGTTGCGAGACACAAGTTGGCAGCAGATCAAAACAGCAAAACCACTGAGCCTTCACCACAGTGATCTCCCTGTACCGAGTCACTGCTGCTTATCCTTCTAGACGAGTCTGGTACCAATTCATCGACCGCGAAGGGATGGACGGCTTGCTGAGCCATGAGCGCGAGGTCGAACCATTGACCCTGTGTGCGACGCAGAGCACCTCTAATCACTGTGCCACATGCGAGTTCTACTCCACAGTGTTAGGGTTTCTAAACTTGGAACGCGCCTCTGAGGCGACATGACGTGTGAGCAAACAACCGGGCCCATCTGATCAATCGATATCCCTCTTCGTCGTGACACGGCGTTGTCGAGCCCGCGCCTTCGCTCACAGATTTGGATTTGGCACGCTAACATGTCAAGCGCGCTCCAACTCGGAGTATCTGCACAATTCACGGAATGCTCGTCGGCCGACTAGTCATTAGTCGGCGAGCCGACGCCGAGTGAACCGGTCGGCTTTATTTCTTCAGGTACTTGCTTTTTCTTATTGAAAGTGATTATTAAATTTGTATTCACTTCATTTGACCGCATATTGCGATGGTATGATGTTACAATAAACCAAATAATGTAGAGCGGTGTGCAAAACGAGCGTCGATGGTGCAACGGTTCAGCTCACGCTCTCGTAAAGCATGAGATCTGGGTTCGAATCCCGGCTGAAGCAGATGTTTTTGCACACCACTCTACATTACTGGAATTTCAAATTTTTTGGTTCCTTCTGATTAGGAGGGATTTAATGAAAAATCGATTTCATTCGGTGGAGAAGAACTTTTTGCAGGAGTGTTAGTAACCATTAGAAAGCTGAGACTTGTGGCTACAGCTACAGCCACACGTCACATGCTTTTCGAAATACCCCTTTCAAACATATCAAAATTCAAAATGAAATCATGTTTCATAAGGCCACGTGTTTTTTCTTTTATATCGCTTATATTTCGCGTACAAAACTTTTCCTCGAAGTGACAGTACTCAAACTATAGCACAAGCTTCAAAGGACTCAAAATGCGTTTGCTTTTCGGAAACGCTCTTGATCTTTTATTCTCCTCTGATCTTCGTATTTGTGCTTTAAAACCTCGCCGGACAGAGCTCTTTCTTTAGACTATTAGTAATCATTTGATAAGCTAATATTTTCTGTTCCTAACGATGTGCTTATTTTCTAGAAATACGGTCTGGCAGGGAGGATAGGATCAAGTTTTACATTATGGTAACGTTGTATAGAGGCTAGACGATAAGGCGAAGGCCGTGGCAGAGGCGTGACAGGGCAGGGCCAGGCGGGACGACCTATAATTTCTATCCAGTTGGGAATTTTTCTTCGCTTCGGTGGAAACTCTGGGTAAATCGATTGACTAGGTTATGATGAAAATTTCTCTACACATTGATATGCTTTTCGGCTTCCAGCGAATTATATGCGTGATTAAAATGAAGGCAAAAGGCGAGTGTGAGACACAATTTTTGATGCGGATGCTGCAACGCTATAAAGGGTGTTTTGGAAAACTGGCGACGTGAGACTGTAGCCTCAAGTGTCAGCTTTCGAATGGTTCCCAACACTCCCATGAAAAGTTCCGCCCCAGCGAATGAGAACGGTTTCTCTTTTGTCCCCTTATAATAAGAAGGAAGCAATTTTTTCTTTTGCTTAATAATTTTCTTTGCGCTAACGATTTTCTAATAGTGATTATAAAAAGAGTAGTGAGCAAGAATACCACCTCAGACAAGAGTCGAACTCGGGAACCACTAAATCACCGAGACACATTTACGCCAATCAGCCACCAACCTTTAACAGATTTGGTAATGTATGCAATGGTGTGGTGGTACCACGCGTCCCCGGTATGGATGAAACGAGGGTTCGACTCCTTTCTGAGGTCGTATTCTTGCTCACCACTCAGTTCTGTTAATAATATATGAAACATCATGACACTACGAAAAAGGCAGTAAAAACAATAGAAATTTCAATAAACAATAAAGGAAACAATAGAAATTTCGATTATGAAAAAGATTTCCAAAATTACTTTGGAAAAGAAAAGAATTTTTTTGCGAGTTGGAAAAAAGGGCTTGCTGATAGATTTTTTGGCTCTTCTTGATAGACGGCGACAAATGAAAATGGACTCCTTTTGTTGAACAAAGATTCTCCATTGCACTTTTAGTAAACATTCCGAAGCTTAAATCTCTGGTTAGTGCGCTACCTGGCCGTTCTTTGAAAAAGCCAGTATGACTTTAATGCTACAAGATTTCCCCTACACGTTCATAAGTTTTTTGCTCTTTCAGCGAAGCAACAGTAGAAGCGCGTGTCCGGTGTAAAACATAGTTCTATTTTGCAATTCTTTATTTTTTCATAGCGCTACCGCGTTACAGAAAGGTCTATATAAAAAGAATCGTAGCGCAGTAGCCAGAGATCCAAGCTTTCGAATGGTCGCTACTCTTATGAGATGTTCTTCTACAGCGAAAGGGGTCGTTTCATCATGTTTCGCCGTTTGACAGAAAAGAACCGTTTTTTCTTTCGAATCATACATACTCGTAGGCTTTTACACATTTTCTACTTTTTGATGTTATAAGCTCCTATATTTAGCATTGAAGCCATTATGTAAATGAGATTTGGTCAATATTAACAGTGTCTTCACTGTTTCGTTGATGTTCATGTGTGTTGCACTGCTAACGAAAATCTCATACCCTCACAATGGCAAGAAAATTCGAGCCGAGCTTAGTTCGTTTAATTTTGAAAAAATCTAGTGTTTTCATCTCTTTTTCTTTCTTTGATTTCGTTTTTTGTGTGGCCTATATAACCAAAATCCTCTACATTTGCTTCTTACTCTTCTATTCATAATCGATTCGTGTTTTTTGGTGCCCAATCTACATCGTTATCTCTTTTAAACGTCGGTTGGCCCTGACACAAATATGTTTATATGCCTTCAGTCATACACTTGATGATAATTTCATTCAGTTCGTTCTTGCAGCACCCTGACGTCCCCACTAGGGTGTTGTGTAATAACTGGAGCCTTGCATGTATTTAGCCTCAATGATCTGCTTACATGAAATTGTCTATTAGTGAATCTACAAAGATTACTCTTATGAATCCAATGTCTAATCACCCAGCATAATCTGAGCCTTAAAACCTCACTTGTTTATGAGAACTTTTATTTACTTTCTTCGACGTCTTTTTTTGTGGACTACTGTGATGTTGCTCACCTCGAGCAGTGTTTGTATTTGACTCTGAGTCGTTTACATCCTACTGTGGAACACATCCGAGGTTAAACAATTTCATCTCAAATTCTACTCAAATTGTAGGATTGAGCAAAAAGTTTCGGGAAGTTTTTGAAAGTATCATTCTTGATCGTAATTCAACAGCAAAAAGATTAGCTATTCTTCAAAGTACAGATCACCATCGTCCACGGATTTTTCTCGATAAGAGGATAAAAAGAATGAAGCTCTCGGTGTTGATTCAATCCCTGAGGGATGCGACATCCATTCTTTTCAACTTTTAACTTCGTTTGAGGCGACTGAATGCATATCTGGCCTTACAATCACCCGCGGTGGCTTTCCGCTGAATCGAATCAGTGCTGCTTATCCTCCCAGACAAGTCTAAGACCAATCTGATACCAATTTACCGACTCCGTAATGATGGATGGCTTGGTGAGCCACGAGCGCGAGATGGAACATTTGACCTCGTGTGCGACGCAGAGCACCTCTAACCACTGCGCCACATGCGCTCCTTTTCTGCCAATGTTCAACAAAGTTTCGGACGTACTCGAAAAAGCAGTCCGGCTCCTTTTAATCAAAAATTCTTTCTTTTTCTTTCATGCTTTCTCAACTTAATTTAATAATGCAAATCGATGCCATGCGAAAGGCAACTTGGCGACGGTCTACTGTGAAACGCCAAGCTCTTCAGCCAAATTATTAGTGCTCGATGAAATCTCAGCATTCAGAGCGGCTTACAAGTCACTTCATCCAAATAGATGGCCTTCTAGAACGAGACATGAGCTAGATGAACATATTCCTTTAACCTTTAGCAGGTTCGGTTGGGCATGCTATTTCGCTTAATAAACCCAGTTGAGCTAACAGCCATTGTGACATCATCCCCCGTATGGGTGAGACACGGGTTCGACTCCCGTCTAAGGTCGTGTTTTCGCTCTTCACTCAATTCTCTTAGGTATATATGAAGACTTTCAAAGACTTTTCAGAACCTTTGCTTGACCCATTAGGGAGGAAGGAACACAAGAAAACTTGCGATGAACGTCCTTGAGCATGGCATAAGCATTTGAAACTCGAACTGTGCTGATTCTGATTGAGCCTGTTTTACGGAACAATACCAAATATTGTCTCTAATCAAGCGCTATTTTGGTATAGCCAGTTCTCTTCAATGACATTTGGACGATAATGTACAAACATGCACGCGCTTCCAAAGGAAGGGTTATTTTGCTGCCGCCAATCTGAGTCATAAGCGCTGATACCTACACATAGTAGTACACAAGCGATGCGCCAAAATGACTCATAGAGATCAGACACGCATGGAAATCTTATGTGGAACTTAGAAATGTTATAGGTTGGATGAACTTGATGGCCGCACAGCCTTTATCACATACTACATCTTAAATTTTTTTCCTATTTATTCGATTCTCTACCACTCCTGTGCAAATCCCGCTAAGTTCACTCACATCCTCTTCTTGAACGTCGTAGAATACTAGCACAGCGCGTTTCCTGCAATCTCGGGAATTGCCTGGCCATAGAGGGCATACCGCGCTCGCTGTTGACTGCCGGGGAGTGATAAAGTTCAGTATATCTCGCTTCGCGCTGCACCGCAGACACCATCACAACTAATCGGCCACAACCTACATAGTTACAGCAAGGTGGTGTTCAGTTAGGTACTAATCAATCTTGCATATCGTTGAGTTAATATGAAGAATGAGAAAGGAGACCTAATAATACTCAGCCTTCAGCCACGTGACAACTTCTCTCTTGAATATCTCCACAAAGAACTATTTGCTCTAATAACAGCGATGCATTCGCCTGTATCTATGTTTATATTCAAATTTATGAAGCCCTTTATTACTCACTATATAAAATTAAAATCGCTTACAAAGCGTAGTGGTTACATATACTTTGTAATGTACGCAGTAGTTAATGCGAAATTGTGACTGAATTTAACATCAACCTTCTATCCTTCTGAAACAGGGAAAACCTTGAGAGAACGGAATATCAAGCGCTTTGACATAGTACATCGGTATGTACCTTGAAGTGCCGTATGCGCCACTAAGGATTCAATTACTTCGACAAATTACATGGAATGCTTATCCTTAGCTAGCAAAAAAGCACTGAGCTATTTCTTATCACTCGTCGAATCGAATTATAATCATTGAGCGTAAGAGTAGTCATAATTGTTGTCGATGTTTGTTTTCAAGCTTCATGAAATCACGATTTCTGTAGCCATATATCTTTCACCAAAGTCCATAAGGTGAATTTGACATTTATTCAACACTTATAAAAACCCACAGTGGCTTTCACTGTCGTGTTTTTTGTCATCCTCCTTCAGCCCTCTGAGAAAAACGCCTCTTTTGTATTCTTTTCCCAAGCTTCAGTAGTCATTCAGTAGCTTAAATCTTGAGAATTTCAGCGGTCTACTACCATATTCTTAAACGACCTTCTTACTGCGCTGTGACAGTAGAATAGAATTTTGCT